GTTTGAGGTAATCAGGAGAACTCTATTTTGGGTAGTTGTTTGTTAATTGAGTTTCAATATAAAAATGAGTTTATTTGCATGTATGATTGAGTTTGTAAATGTGAAATCATGCTATAAACCATATGTTAGTATATTAATCATGATCTTTCATAAATATGAAGTTGAATTCGAAATGAATTTATGAGCTATGAATGTGAATTGAAAAGTGAAGTCTACGATAGGGTATGTGATGTTAGTGTGTTTGTGTTAACATGTGAGTAATATACGTGTGGCTAAATGAAAATTTAAAATGTGATATGAAACTTAGAATTGAAAAGGAGAATGCTTATGAATATGACATTGATGCTCACTTATGTAGTGTCATAGAGCCCAATGTGTTGTTATTGAGTAAATGAAATAGTGAAATGAATGAGCATCATACATTGTATGATTATTTGGGGAGAGTTCACTTAGAGAGAGAAGTAGATAAAATCCATATGATGCTTATGGTTACCTTCTAGTGCACGAAGGCCTAACCTTGTCTCACTGTTTGTCGAGAGATTGGAATTTAGTTATCTCCACCTGTTTATTGAGGATATTAGCTTAGGGTATACAACACCCCAGAGATTTGAGAGTGGGGAAAGCCATAGTCTGAAAGTGAGTGTTATGATCTTTGGTTAGGTCACATCTCACGATTGGTAAGCTTGAGTAGTGCAGTCACACAGATGAAACCTTGATTGATATTATAACTCACAGTTTCAATAGGAGAAAATAAGGAAGGTATAAGGATGATTCGATCATGCATATGTGTTTATCCGACATGTCATATGGTTGTCAAGTTTATGGCAAGTTGTAATAGTAAATTATATCATTGTCACTTGTTTGAGATTGTGGCAATATACTTTGTTTTGAAAATGAGAAACATGAAAAGTGAGTTTATTGTGAAATTTTGACTTGTATTATGTATGATCTTAGATGTTTAGTGATTAACTGTCTTTTATGTGTTTAAATCAATTGATATACAACTACATAGGACATGTATATCTTGGTTACTAATTGGTTAGACTTACCCCTCTATTTTAATATTTTACAGGCTCTAGTTTTGATATAGAAAGGGAAAAAGCTCTTAAGGCTTAGAAATCTAGGATTCCTACTATAAAGCCTCTTATTCTCATTTATTTTATGTGATAGACTAAATATTGTTAATTAGAATGCTTTTTACTCACACTTGCACTATATTGTTGTTAAAGAATTTGAAATGCATTTTAGGCCCTGGATTGTTGTATGTAAGCTGTTAAAGTATTGATAGGATTAAAATACTAGTGCAAATATAAAGATGTTGATTTGATTATAACCATTAACAATAATTAGATTATGTAATGCTAAAACCTATTCTTTCTGTTTTTGATATTAAAGAGGTTAAGGAGTGAAAAAAATTAATACTATGGTGTATATGTTCATGTGGTGTGTTGTACAAGTAGTCTTAAGTCCATTGAGTATGATTGGGTGTTGGAAATGGCTTTTGACACATATATGGGGTTTTAGACATCCTTGAATTGTGAAAATTGTGAAAATAGTTTGAAAATATGTTTGGGTGTCCAAATTTCATGTGACTTAATTTGGAAATAAAACTCATGTCATTAACTAGTTTATGAGAAGAATTTTTTATAGATACCTAAATTACTTCATTTGGATGTCGGATAGAGAATGGGGTACGTCGGAAGTTGCTTGAGTTTTTTGTCAAATGACAGCAGAACTGCTGTCTGAAAATGTGCAACACACCATATGGCACAAAAAGAAAAGGGTAAGCAGTGTGGGATGTGCACATGCCACGACGCATTGCCCTGTTTTTCAGAACTTGTTATTTTTCAGTTGCTTTTGTGTTGTTTTACGCCTTTGCAGTATCTCATGTTTTTAAAATATTATTTTACTCTAATTACAAGTTTAATAAATGGTTTTAATTTATTTTAAATTATGAAAATTTGAGATCCCATTTGTACAAAATTCAAAGTTGATAGTATGAAAATGAACTTAACCTATGATTACCTTAGCTTAACCAATAGGTCCTTCCTACGTTGATCTTTGGTGAGAAAACTTTCTAATTTTAATTATAAAAAATGTTGATATAAATTGTAAGGGCCATCTAACTTAACTTTGAACTTAACTGTGTTTGAATTGTGTAAAAGGAGCACCTCTTAAGTTGGGTTAAAACTTTGAACTTAACTGTGTTTGGATTGAGTAAAAAGAGCACCTCTTAAGTTGGGTTAAGTGTTTAAATATTGTGGATAAAAATTAAGAAAAATTATTTTCAAGTCTCACACTAGCAATCTAAATATGAAAAAAATATATTATAAAATCACAAAATTATTCTAAAGTCCAATGTCCTTTGTTAAAGTTATCAATTTGTGACATTAAAGTTGTCAATTACTACTAGATAGTTGTTGGTAGAGTTGTTTAGTTAACAAATAAACAACAATAATTAACAATTATCAGTAGTAATTAGCAATTTTGGTAAAAAAGTATAAGAATTTAAAATAATTTTGTGATTTCATACAACTTTTTTATATTTAGATTGCTTGTGAAGAATCTAAAATTTATTTTCCCTTAAAAATTTAGAAAAAAAAACATGTTGGAAAGAGTTACTCCTCTAGCCTTATTTATAAGTTACTTTTAATATGTTTTATTAAAATTAAGAAAAATTTTAAATTTCATTAACTCTATCTAAAAATTTAATCAGTTTTTAAGTTTGTCCCTATTAATATATATGCTTTAATAATGTACTTTTTCTCACTAACATTTATGCTCTGTTTGGTTGGGAAGAAAATATGGGAGGCAAGAAAACATGGAGAGAAAACAGGAGAGAAAATAGATTTTCCCTTGTTTGGATAGGGAAGAAAAAATGAGAGGAAAGAAAAAGTGGGAGGAAAATAGGATGTGAGACCTACTGTTTTTTCTTTCCAACTTTTCTCTCCAAAAGTAGAGAGATTTTGAGAGTAAAACTTTTTTCCACTGTCTATCCTCTCTCTTTCTCTTTTATTTATTTCGCGTTCTGACTGTCAAGAGACTACTTAATTACATTAATTTAATTTTAATTAAACAGTTTGGTTTATAATTTTTAACTTGTATAGTTATGAATTACATTAATTTAACTATTTAATTAAATAATTTAGCCATTGATTAGATCAAGTTTCTAGAATTATATTAATTTAATTTTAATTATTTGATTTTAAAATATAATATAAAAATATATTTTTAACAAATAATTTGATTTTAAATTAATTTGATTATGTTAATTTTAATATAATTTCTGCTTTCAATTTATTTTCACAAATATAATTACATGAAACATGATATATTTGATATAAGGGCATTATAGTTATTATGATATATGTTCATTTTCTTTCCTTCTTATTTTCTCCTGTCCATCCAAATAGAAGGAGTGATAATATTTTCTTTCCAGTTTTCTCTTCTTTCTATTTTCTTTCTTTTCAACTTTTCTTCCTATCCAAACAGAGGGTTAATGGAAAGTAAAAGAGAAAATTTATAATAAAAATTTAATAACATAACTAATTGAAAATCTACAGCATTGGAATAGGATCGGAGGGAGTATTTTCTATTTAGGTTTGACAATGATGGAATTTATATTAGTGGCTATTATTGAAAAATTAAGACTAATTCAAAGCATAAAATTTCCCTTTGGTAAAAATAAATATTTGACAGAGCGTGCAAAGAGGCCAAGTGAAAAGCAACACAAATATTTCACATTTTGCAGAAGGAAGCATGCTTTGACACTGAAAAATGGGACCTCACACTCCATGAATAAGTATGCAAAATCTGCAGCATTTAAATTTAGCTTTGCCACTTTGTGTAAATGACATGTTTTGAGTTCAAACAAATCATCCCCATGTGATCTCTTGGTCCCTTGTGTCTACTATTCAGGACCACTTCTCTACCCACGTATGTGCCAGCTTGCTTTCCACTAATTGTTATCTCAATACATATCTCTCACTTTTTTCAGTCTCTTTTGTTTCACACTCGTAGTTCTCAGAACTTTGATCGTTTAGAAGCTGAGAGAGTGAGTATTTTGAAATGGGTTAGAATTCAGAATCTTGAGTTTTCTTTCTTTTGCCTCTAAAATACAGAAGGTGGGGCTTATGCCACACATGAAGACACTAGCATAACTTGCTTGGCATTCATAATATGCCAATTGGGTTAACGTCAATGTTTCTGATATTTCTGACAATTTCAAGCAATGTTACCAATTTATTCACGTAAGGTTAATTCTTTGGTTGGTCATTTGGAATTGAGAGAATCACATTCAAGGAAATTATTTACAGTAGGAATGCTATTTGTTTTTTCTTAAATAGAACTTGTTATTGTCTTTATCTATGAATAATTTGCTTGAGTGATCCTTAGATGTGATTTTCCCGATAGAATTTCATATGGTGATTCATTTTTAATTTGATGATTGTAACTAAACCTAAACAAATGTTATTTTGAACCTTTTATGTTGTGATTTGTGTAATTTCTTAATTACTCATTAGATGTTACATGATATCATGGAAAAATTATATTTTAAGACTTAATTAAGAATCTTAAAAAAATTAAGTAAATTATTACTAGATTAAGCCATCAAGTCACTAGTTCGAAACAGTCCTCTGTTGAATCCACCAAAAAAATTATATTTTTATGATGTTTGTTAAAATCAATATTTGTATATTTATCAATATGCACCTTAGATAAGTTAGTCGTAAGGTGTTGAATGATGATAATTTTCTGATTTAGAATAGCTTGTGCATAGTTTTTTTCATTGATCAATAATGAAATTCTCCACTTCCGTTCAACAAAAGTATTTACATATCTATATATAATATAAAATTTATAAAAAATTATATTATTGATACAAGTCATAAACAGTGAACCTCAAATTTCATCAAAAATATATAGAACTCATTCTAGTACATTGTATAACATTCATGGGAACTTGTAAACCAATAAAATGAACAAACAAATGCATCAACTAGCAGAATATGGTTCTCATTAGAAATCTGAATGACAAGAAAGAAAAATGCAAATTTCTTGCAGCATTCAGCAAAAGAAACTGACAACTGCTGAGATTAGAGAGAAGGATGAACATGTCATGTCACAGAAGACAATTGAACCCACAAGAGCTAACACAACAATACCTGATTAAAATCACAGTATGCTATATATAATGATAACAACAACAACAATATATTAATTTCTATAATGATCATCATCATCATCATCTGTGACAAACACATCTGTAGTGGTATGGGCTATTGACAGGATCATTGCCTTCAACAGGTACCTGCTCGGCTCTGCATTTATACTTGCAGCCTCTGCATTCATTGTAAGTACAAATTGGTGCTGTGGATCCTATCATCAGTCTCCTTGAATTCCTCTTCCTCCATTCCTCCTCCTTTTCCTGACACAAATATTTGATTCAATGTTCAAGCTTTACTTTTAAGGCTGTTTGGACCAAGGACTGTGACAGAACACAACATGTTTTACCAAAACAGAAACAAATTACTTCTCTGGATTCCTTTTCCTTCTTCTTATGCTAAATTTTCAAGATCATTCTTTTAGATATTCTCACCTGCAAACTTGGTTCAGTCTGGATTTCAGAGGATTGAAATACCATTCCTTCTGTTTTGATTCCTGTAATGTAAAAATAATTTATCAGAAACAGAAAAAAAAAAATTCCATATGGGAAAAGAAAGTAACATAGGAACACTAATTTTCTGCACACAAGGGAGAATTGTGCTTGAAGAAGAAGTATTGACAGAAGAAGAAAATAAAGAAGAGGAGGACTGAGAGTATGAGTATGACCTTGAATAAGTTTAGGTGCAAGGATTAAGGTGAGGAGTAGAATGAATACTAGTTTGTGAAGTTTAGTGCTGGCCATTCTTGCTTCCGGTCACAGTGTGAAACTTTGAAGAGAGAAGTGAATACTAGACTGTGAATATATATGAGAGATAAATGTGTGTGTGTGTGAGAGAGAGAGAGAGAGCGAGAGTGAGAGTTTTGTGGTGAATGAAAGAGGAAACAAGAAGAGATAGTATCAAAATGTGAAGAGTGACAGGCGAGCATGATGATGAGGGGATCCTTCGACCGACAGATCGCCTCTTGTAGAAAACTCATGGGAACTCTACACTCATCATTACAATTACTAAAATGTCCTCCAACTGGTTTTTAATTTATTTTTTAAAAAAATAATGGATCCTTGTTCTGTAGGCTCTATGTATTGTACTGTGTCTAAGGACTATGTTCAAATAAAAGAATCGCCATTATCAGGTGGGGCAGGCAGGGTAAGCAGTAATTTATACCTTGAGTTATGCAATAGAAAAGTGAAGACATGTCAACTACCAAAGAGATCATGAATGAATGAGAAAGTGAGAACATTGTATATATATGGAGGATTTAATTCTCTCAAAGAAGGAGTAACATTGTATTATGGGTCAATGGCATTGAGTTTAAAATATGAAGTGTCCAATTCTCCATAAACCCATACTCATTTATTAAGTTTCTGAATCTATTCGCTTAGGAAATGATGGCTTCTGCTTCTGGCTCTTTCTTCTTTTGCTCCCTCTTTCATTTAAGTTTTGTATTCCATTATTTATCAGGAATTCGGTGAAGCATCTTTTACTTTCTCAATCTTTCTTTATTCGTTTTCTTAATAAATTGTCTTCCTTTGGCATTATTGTTGTCTCGTTGTCTTCACATCTCTCTGTGGGATATGGATCCCATACTGTCATATTTGTGCAGTGTTCAAGTACAGTGTAAAATCTGGTTAAAAAAAGAAGACGAAGAATAACTGCAGTGTAAGCACTTTTATGATATGCATGCATGCATGCGCGTGTCCGTATTGGTTATGATAGATTTATCTTCTTTCTAATAGGCTGCACTTGAACACTACACAAAAAAAGCACTTTCGGAGATCCGAATCCTTCTTCATGATGTTATTTTCCAGGAGGCCGATTTGCTAGACTTTCTATTTTTTAATATATATCTTTGCAAGTTCTTTGATAAAACTAGATATTACACCCGTGCAATGCATGGGACATTAATTTTTTTCCTTAATTTTAAAGAAATGGATGAGAATAGAATGAAAGAGATATTTTAATTATTTCAAAAAAAATACTGATAGTGTTAAAAAATTTTAAATGATTTTTTAAATTTGCATTTTATCTTTTCTCATAATTAATGAGTTTAAATAAAGATAATAATATAAAAAATGTGATTAATACCCCATTAAGTGTCTTATATTAAGGACCAAAAAATTCTTCTAGAAGGAGCCCTATATAGAGATTAGAGAGTGTAAAATAAGGATATAATTAAAAAAATATGTAAAATATATCCAATGTTTTAATTCTTAGACCAAAAAACTTTTAAAAAATAACATATATTATGGTTGGAGAGCAGTATAAATTAAAAATTTTTGCATATTCCTTTTGTACTATATCCCCCCCACAAGGCCCACAGGCCACATCCCATATATTTTTAATATAGATCCCACAACTCCCACCTCTTCTAACTATATAAATTATTAGGTAAAGATTATAAAATTACCATGTCTCAATTAAAAATATATTAACAAAATTATATATAAATTTCATCCCAATGATTAGCAATGCTTGATAAGATGATTAAAAATGCCTTTTCATCTCTTTTGTTAAAAAATATCAAAGAAACATTTATGGTACTCAGTTTTTTATCCTTTGTGGAAAATAATCTCCTGCCCTAAACTTCTATTTTGGGGCATGCCAAACTAAAGAACGAAGCATCAAGTGATCCTTTTTTATCCAGAACAGAATCTTGCATTACAATTCTTGCCATGTTTTTCTTCTTTTTCTCTTTCTCGCATAAGATTCTCACACAAAGATAACAGATGCTCACCTGTCATACACAATATTACAAAGTTTAAGGATGAACATGTCTAACCCAAAACCACATTAATTGCTAAGATTTGGCCAGATTTAGCTCCAATACTATCCATGTCCAAAGGACCATGGTGCACTCAGCAATGTCTCGTACTATGTATTTTTTCTTCTAAGGCTCGGGAAATTTAATAATATTAATTGAAGAGAATCTCACCCAAAAAGAAAAATTATTGTTCTTCACATATACAGGAAGAAGGCGAGAGATATCATATAATGTCCAAAAGTAACGAGCTTACTTCTGCTTGTTGTCACTCAGTTTCTGACAATTCAATATTTACAAACATGTCACTACAGAATCTGACGCTCTTTGCCCACTGCAGTTAACATCCTCTACAAGCTTCAACCTTTAAAGGATCTAAATCCGCAAATAACCAACTCTGACACAAGATGATTTGATGACACAAGGACACCAGAGTTTTATCATTTGTTCACCTAAATCTAAACATACTATCAACATATTTATCAGAATGAAAATTCCTCAGGTAGCCTCGGATACTTCTCTGATAGAAATGCCTTGTACTTCCTTTTAAGATCTCCACCTGAAAAGAGGTACCCGATACATTATTCAGGACGAAATGTGTTTCCAGTCATATACAAAACATAGGGTCAGCTTCTCAAGAAAAAAGCAAATGCATATAAGGGCAAGGGAAGAGACAAGCAGCTACCTTTAGCATAGAATGGCGGGACATCTTTAGAAAGAGTTGATTCTACCAGCTTCACAAAATCTTTAACTGCGAAATCACCAAAAGATAATGAGAATTCTTGAAGTAGAGATCATTCTTAACCTAGAATGAACATCATGGAAGAAGAAAGGTCATAGGGGATTGAATGTCCTGGCTAGCAAAATAATTCAAAAGGATGTCCCAGAATTTTATTATCACTTGATTTAAAATTTCGCTGCACTGAAGCTTTCCAGCTTTAAGAAAACAATGTTCTTCATGCTCTATTATTTTTCAAGTTTTTTCAGTGCCAACAAGGTGTTTCCAATCCAGGTTTTCTTAGTGAACCAAACAGCTTAAAATTTCATCTCTGCAGTCCAAATAAATTATAAGGACTTCTAGTCGAAACATGGTAGCTATATTTGGCCAATGATTGTAAATATCTATTTTTTCTGGAAAAAAAAAAAAGGTCCGAAACTGAAGATGGTTAGTCTAATATATCAAACCAGTAACTCTTACACCATGTAATCAATTTAGTTGCGCTATAACTGCAATAGAATGAGATTCAGAAAAGGATTCCTCAAAAATGGAAAAAATCCCTCATGCACATTATCTCCTAGGGAGCTGGACTGCCTCATATTTAATAAGTGAATCCATAAGGATAAGGTTATGTTTGAGTTAAGGAGAATAGAGAAGACAAGTATTCATCCTCTTTATACTTTCCTTGAGAAGCTAATATTTTGAAATGAAATAAACTAGTCATGTCTTTGTAAGGAAAAACAAATTGAAATTTGTTTTGAAATAGAAAAAAGGACTGACAAAAACAGAAAGAAAGAAAGAAAAAAGGCAGCAGAGTGCTGATCGGAATGCATTAATCAATTCGTTATTTTTCTTAATTGGCAGACAGCGTCTATAATACAGTGATCATGATTATGTTTCAGTATATTGATATTCGTGATATAAAAGCTCTGGTCTCTAGATGTTTCAATACTTACCAGAAAGAGTCTTTCCCCCTTTGTTGATATTAATCAGGTAGGCAGAGATTTGATTGTCTTTCAACTGTAGGATAGATAGAACATATATAACAATGAAAAATAGGCAGATGGTAGATGAGTAAAAAAGCAACAACTTATTTAAGCCAGAATATATTTATGCATAAAATAGAAGGAGAGGGATCAGTTTATGACCTTGGCTAGAAGGGCCTTTGCAAGCTCCAGTGGATCAATACATGAAGGAGCGTGGTTGAATGAAGGCACGAAGTTCCCATTTTGATAACCGGCTAGAAAGTGAGAAGCTGCTTGACCAGGAGAGAGCTTTGAAATAGAAGGGATACACTCAGAACTGCTTCAATAGATAAAAAACAGGTCAAGAAACAGAGGGAACTAAAAATAACATGAACAAGAGCTATACACTGAACTAAATTATTCATCAGTTCAAGTGTGCCAATTGACACAATTTCAGTTCCTGGAAAAGAATAAATAATATTAAGTTATAGAACAGTGCAGTCATGGGCCACAAAACATTTATGCATGAAAAACATTGTACAAAACATAACCAGATAGCATCTCATCGCATGCATTTCCACCCTCAAGGTTAGATTACCTATCAGAAGAAACAAGAACAATAGCAGCAGGCAATTTAAATATATTAGATCCACCAGTATTTCCAGTCTGAAACAAAGGTGCAACGCTCTGGGGAGAAAGAATTATGCCAGCATCAGTAGAAACCAAAAAGTTTGCACAGCTTTGAATTGTATCTTCTGCTGCAAATAGTACAAAAACAGAATCTCCAGATACTAGGATCCTGAAATTTGAACCATCCAATTATTAAAGAAAAAAAAATTACTTCTGTTGAGATTGTCATAAGTCACCAAACAATTACCTTCCCCGTAGAGGAATGCCTCCTCTTGCAGATATCACGGGTTCAGACAAAGCAGATAGTGCTTTCTTGATCGTACTGGCATCTGAGAAAGCTTTATGACATAAAACTAGGGATGATCTTTCAATATCAGCAGCCACAAATCCATTATTTGACTGATATTCCACACTAATAGCCTTCATCAAAGAAGAACTGCAAAGTCAAAATCAATCATCTGGCCATAGAATCATACATCATAGTCTAATGTCCCAAATAAAGGATTCAGCAACGAAAAGGTAAAACCCATGCCCAGCTTCCTGTGATAGAACTCCATCAAAAGCAGTCCCATCTCATGAACCATTTCAGATGCACCATAACATTCAAGAATGACTGCGTCAATGATTTCATAGCAGTTTTGATTTGGAACTTTATTCTCCTAAAATGGTGGGGCCTAGCTGCAGCTTCTGATTAGAGAGTAATAAAATTTCTCTTCTTGAAAGTAATTCACCAGGCCCACTAAAGCACGCATCAAATTAGGCCATCAAATCATTGGTGGGAAAAAAAATAGCATTAATCAATTTAACCATATTATTTCTGTCCTTATTTCAATTTTAGAGTCAAAAATGTTAAGTCAAGTCTTGAGTATATCAGAAATGGTAAGCCATCAGTCTCAAAGATCTCACCTTATGATCAGTTTTAGCGGACTAGTTTGATTTCAATTTAGTTTTTCAAAAGCTTGGTTTAGAATTAAGAAATCCTGCCTGGGCCAGGGTCAGCAAACTAGCTTTTCAAAACCTTGATGTAGAATATAGTTTCTCATTTTTTTATTACATAGGGAAAGCTAAATGCCTAAAATAGTTAGTGGAATCAAATCCATGACCTTCCATCAACAAGAGTGAGCTTCACCACTAGGCTATAAGGCAATTGGCAGTTTCTCATATTTTGAGTTGAGATTCTTTCTAGGATAATGAGAGCAAATTTGAGAGTTAAGAGCCAGCAGACTAGTTATTTTTTGGACGTATTAACCATGCATAAGATGCTCTTGAAAAAGGACTAGGGTTCTAACTTTTCAGCTAACTCGTGAACAATACAACAATATGGGCCATAACATCATTTTAGAATAATCTCCAAATTTTATATGGCAATATATTAATCTTGTGAACAAGGAAAAGCGGAAAACCAACAAAGTAATCCAATCAACTATGCCTGACTCCCAATAGTTTCTTTCTCTTTTCTTTTCTTTTTTGGGTGAAAGAATCCCAAAAGTTGTTATATCAACAAAGTAAATCATTGAACAAATCTCGTAAGCATAATTGAATGAATTGACAAAATATTAACGTTTTCCAATTGCAGTATTGAAGACCTTATCTTGAACTATTAACTCATACATGTCATTTGCACACAAGTCATATCCCCTTCAATTCCAAAGCCAAAAAATTTTCCCAGTCTCCTTTCAACCCCTTTATCCTCTCTTGATTTAACTTTCTCATATTTATTGGTATATTCTACATCATTACACATTTTAAGCAAACTTGTCAGAGATTTGATAGAATGAAAATATACACATAAAAAATTGTAAACAGCTCCACCCCCTCCCCCGTTCCAAAAATAACAGTTAGGCAGTAACCTGGGGGCAAGCCTACAATCAACATGAAAGTTGAGGCAACCACCAAAAGCTCCTCCATGCTAAGTTGAAAATTTACTAAATGCTAATCAGCATATGAAACATCACTTTCTGAAGACTAAAAATATATAGTCTGAATATCTTGCATGTGTCATAGATGATAAAAAATGCAGAAAATACCTTATAGATGTAGCTACATAAACAGTCAATGGACAAGTATCATGTGAAATTGATCGAGCATTTGTCTTACAGAGAAGATTTGAAAGTGATAGCGTTGCTGAAGGACTATCACTTATCACCCGAACCTTTGCATCACAATTTGGCAATGAGCCAATAGCTCCATCATGAACAAATATATTCGGGACAGATGACAGGTGATTTGTTACCTGACATAAATAATTTAATAAACAAGAAATTAAATTTCATGCAAGAGTTCTTTCGAACAAATAAACTACTCTGCTTCTTCATGAATGCCAACAATATCCCCACCATGAAAATATCACTTGCCTGAGGAAAAAAAAAACAATTTAACCTGTTTTGTTAATACACCAACAAGAACCAATAGGATAAATTAGATGAGCTTAGAAAGATGTTTTCAGTCATGACTATAAGCTAAAGGGGCAATCTAGTATTTTCCTCATATGCCAGGTTGATTTATGTTATTTATCTAGCTAACTGTACATGTATATTTTATGCATGTGTAGAATATCTGTATTCTTTGTGTAGTCTGTTAATAACAGGTGGCACCTTACATATAGAATGAGCTATTCATATAGCTCATAGTGATTAAGTATTAATACAAGCATTCACTTCTCTGTCCCTCTCTTTTGTGATGCACTAGGTTCTATCTAACAGGACTGCTGGGAAGAGAATTTACCTGCTGTGCAATTCTTCGCAGATATGCCAAGATCATTGATAGTGACACTAACCGTTATTGAAGGGAATATGTGGATGTTTTCCTCCTCCATTATAACCTTGATTATGGGGGCAAGGGGAAAATTTTGTAGGGCCCACACACTGTTTATCAATTTATCTTTTTGATTTGCTCATCTTCCAATTTTACTTAGTACCCAAACAGGGGAAAGGAAAGTCTTCTCTACCCCCATTTCTCTGACATAATTCCCATTTCACATCTCAAAAAATCCTAAGCATGACATAAATTTATTGAAATACTTAAACACAAAACATAACATGAATAAAATATTATAGCAGAAAAAAAATATGCGCGCGTGTGTGTGTGCAAGAAATATCTGAATGTTTCCCCAAGTTTACATCATACCAGTTTAAGAAGCTTGCCAAATTGTGCCTTTGAAATTTTTGACGCTTCACCAATAACACTTCCTCTCACATGTAAAGGGAATCCAGATAAGGGTTCTAATAGATAAATGCAAACAACAAGTTAGATTATAATGTGTAGGAAAGAAGTAAATAAGATCAGTAAGGAATAAGTTTCATCTTACCAGCAACGACTGCACCATGTTGCTTTAGTTCAGATGGGTTCAAGTTTGGTAAAGCTTTTCCCATTACAATTACACCTTTCATAGCCAGAGCCGAGTTAAGGCCACTAGAAAATCCTGCTTTTCCCTGTTCGAAAGAACCATAAGAAGAATCAAGAATTTTACACTAAAACTTGAGAATATAAGAGAATTCCCTTCTGATTTGAGTGAGATATTTTATTCCTGAATTTCTTTCATGGTTTAAAGTGATGTACTACCTTACAAATTTTCATATAGTTTTTCTTAGACAGAAGTAAAGATATTCATCTCAGTTATTTGATAGTAATATATAAACTCGAAGGTACAATATGAAACCATAATTTCCCAGAAGTAAAAGCTTCTAAACAGCAATGCAGATCCATATGAGGTGAACTTCTAGAGTAGGCTTCACTGACGGATTGTATACAAGTAATGCTGTCTTGAAAAGCTTGACAGCAAGCATTTGCAGCCACTTTATCATTGACAGCGCCCCCCCCCCCTAAACTAGGTTATATATTTGTGCATAGCTGAATGTCAACTGCTTGCTTGAATTTCCAAGCTGTGCCAGAATGAAAGAAAATGATAATTAAATGATTTTTTTTGCCACTAATATATTTTTTTTTTATCCAAAAGAAAGCTATTAATTGTATTCATAGCAAAAATGTAACTGTTAAGCAAGAAGGCTGAACACACCAAAAGCAGGTCCACCAGCCCAACGATGACAATATGTACAAGCGTTGTATGCATGTCAAACACAATACATTTCTGTTTTGAATTATTGATGCTTCATAGCTTTCCATTTCAGCACTTGAAAGTTGAAACAGATCGAAGATCCACAGAAAATATCGAAAAGGTAAAATTAAAACCTGGTGGAAGTGTCTCTTTCTGCTTCATCCTCAGCTTTTGGTGCTGACACTGCATTCTGCAAAAAATGCAACAATTTAGATAATGTAATCCTCAAGCATGTTTGCAGGAAGAATAGGTGATGGATAAAAGATTTTTAGATTTTACTCTTGAAGACTACCGGAGCAATGAAATTTAGGACTGCGAACACTTTGTGGGATTCTAGTCAGGAAGCCACAATAGTTGTTTGGAGGGTTCGTAGAAGCAGAAACATTACTGAACATTGATCATCACTAATAAGTAGTTTGTTTGATGTGAACAGATGAAAGTCTGTAGATCGGTGTTGAGTCATTGTTGAGCAAAATGTGGAGGGGATTTGGCAAATTAGGGGCAGTTAATATCTGAACCTCTGGCGAATCAAAAAGGCTCTTAAAATTCCTAAGTTAGCTTGAAAAAGTGAAGTTAAAAGCAGGATTCAACATCAACAAGCAAACAAATAACAGCATATAAAAATTCGGCATTTACAGCTCCAAAGAGAAAACTAAAGAACATGAAATGCCCATGAAAAGAAAAGGCACAAAAATGAACACTTGCGATGACAGGAAAATGCGCATATACGATGTGAGAAAGAACAGAGTAACTGACCCGTCGGGACGAGAGCAAGAAAGGGAGAAAAGGACTTGAACTTGAGGAGCGAGTAGTAAAAGGGGTTTGGAGTCGATTCAGAAGAAGGGTCCTCATTTGTAACAACTCTTGGTGGCTTTTCGGTTTCAGGGATTAGCAGCATGAATATATATATGTGTCCCGCGAAACCCAAGGCGCGCAGAACAAGTGCGCATATGAGCCAAAAATCCTATTTTTTCCAATCTTGCTTCCAAGTCCACAACCACAAGTCGCACTTCCAAATCCATTTTTTCCAATCAATTCATGTGTGAGAAGCGTATAAAAGCTAGAACTGGAAAATCAAAATGAGCAGGAATTATGGTGGAAGTAAACTACTTTGCAAGAGTATAAGACTAATTCATATGATCAGTCACAAATAATGCATAGAAGGCGCACGAGATTTTTACTCATGACTTTCTGGATTGTATAAAGAAGAGACTGAAGTGAGAATAATGATACCAGAATTGTAGAATATTAAAGAACAAAACCAATTTAGTGCCAGAATTTCACATAAATATCCACCAGGAATGGGATATAGTGAAAGGGTTATTCTCTCACAGCTTGATTCACAGGTTTCGAACGCTAATGTCCCATTTAGTGACTGGAAGAGTATTGCTTCAAACAGGATGATCACTCGGCGACTAAAATAAACAAATTTATACTAATATTTTATACTATCATAAACTACATATTTAGTCTTTTAGTTTTACATAAAATTTCATTTTGATCGCATAATCTTTTTGATTTTTAAAGGAAATCCAAATAAAAAACAACAAAAGCAAAAGAGATAAACACAAACTTAACCAGAGTCAACTTCCGTGATCAAATTCCTTACCTCTTCAACTTTGATCTTTTAATTTTGCAAATTTTTGCCAATGAAACTAATAGTGGCAGAAAAAAAAAATTTACATTAAATATTTAAATATTGATAAAATACTTTTAAATATTGACAAATTAAATTTAATTTTTTAAAAATGATGATAATTAACATAAAAAATAATCATTTTACACTAAAAATGTTAGACTGAAAAATATTTTATAAAATGCAGGGATTAAATTAAAATATTTTATAAAATTAGAGGACCAAACGAATACTTTAGATTTACATAGTTATCAGACTATATTGAAGAAAACCCTGATAAAGACTTTTTACCCATGCCTACTAGAATATATGGAAAGTTAAATGTAAGAAAATCTATTTTAAAAATGACATGCTAGATAATGGCATTACTTTCTCTTGCACTTCATAGATAATCAATAACCCAAAGCCTCAATCCAAAATTAGCCCTCAAAGCAAACAAAACACCATATATGAAGCTAAATGGAGTTCACTAAATCTTGGGTGGATTAGACTTGCAAGTGATAACTTTGTCAACTTTAATGGTGATGCTACTTGTGAAAGCATAATTAGAGGCAACAAGGATAATTAGATTAAGAGATTTTCTAAAAATCTTGATTATCACCCTGACACAATTGCTAAGCTTGTATGGATTTTGAAAGGTCTTGGTATTTATTGGAATGCTAAGATTTGAAAATCAATCTCTACTTAAATTCTACACATATTATCACTTATTGAATGCAACTACTCTAAAAGTCATTCACTCTCAATTACTATCAAGAAAATTAAATATTTCATCATAAAGGATTGAGTGATCATTTTTAACCATATTTATAGATAAGTAAATAAATATATTAATGTATTGGCTCACAAGATTTTAAATGATAATTTTGATAATACAATTTCAACAGCCATCCTTTGATTGTAAATATTTTATAGTTTTAAATATGACTTGATCATTATTTCTTTGTTTAGTTTTTCCATGACCTTGTATAATATACATATACATACATACATATATATATATATATATATTGAATATGAGTGTGAAATTCTATCTAAAACTATGCCACCGTTTACATCTAATGAAACTTCAAGAAATGAATCACTCTCTACTACTATGTAAATAATGTGGCTAGTTGTTACCTTGATTCTATACTTGCCGAAGGATATTTTATCGATATTAAAAACTAAACCAATCATTAAATAAGATAAGACACTAATTATATGGTTAATAATTAAAATTATAATCAAATTATAATTAAATAAGTTGTAAATAAAAAATTTTATTAAATTGATCAAGATGTCAATTTAACAATTTAGTGGTTCAATTGGATGAGTTGACTAAGTTTTTATATTATAAATTTTATAGGTAATAATATGTGATGATATAAGAATAGACAAAGTAGAAGTAGTTATGATGCAATGCTTGAATTTGATGGACAAATTGGAGGTTTGGACTAGAGATGAAATGATGGGTGAAGAAGATAATCCAAGGGCTTTGAATAACAGTAATTACAGAAAGGGTCAAAAAGTTTTGAATAATAGTCATCGGAAGAATGACATTCAAGGTCCTTTTAATAAATTTTATTACAATAAAAACTTATCAATTTTATATAAAATATTATATTATCAAAACCACATATATATTATTATTAAAAACTGAATCTTAACTTATTAAACTTTTAAAAAAATTTTAACAAAATATAAAATTCGACCTTTAACAACAACATATATATATTTTTATAAAATAATGTCCTATGTAAAATTAATGAACCCTTATTTCGATAAATTTTTTTGAGAATACCTTAAATATCATCCTTCTAACCATGCAAGTAAATTTTGTCAAGGCCAAAATGTTCTTGGGAGAGAGATCTTCAATACAACTACATGTCCATGCCCATTTTGAACTAGAAATCTCTTCCATATGAAAATGGCAGTGATGCTGCGAAGACAACTACATGTAAAATTCTAATTTTATACATCAAATATTACATCAGAGTAGTATTTTATAACATATCATTTCACTAAATCAATTTTATGCGATGAGTTAAAATAATTGTTTTTTAACTTTGTTATTAAATTTTATTTTATTAATACATAAAAATTAGAGGTAATGAGTTGAGAGGTTACTTCAATTTAAACAAAATTTTATTATTGGTTCTCAAAATATAATTTAAAAACTCAAATAAATATTTACAATTAAAAAATAAAATAAAGTACATAATATGTATAATATATCATTAATTAATTAATTTAATATTTCTAGTTTTATAATAAATATACAAAATTTTTTGCACATTTTTCACTAGTTTCTAATGTAACAATATATACATAAAATAATATAATTCAACATGATTTAAAATGTTAAATATATTAAAAAGAATTCTAATTGGTTCACATCAGTCCCGGTTCATCAATTCGAGTCACCAATTTTTCCTTTCCCGGTTCATCAATTCTTTTTTCCAGCCAACTCGAACTGGTTCTCCATTTTACCATGACAGAAATAGTTAAATACCATACCAGTTGAACTATTAAACCTTGTTTATGACCGTCTAATCACTGATTTGATTACAACTTTAATTATTAATATTTGAAGCAGTACAATGAATCTGATCCTATCTTCACGTTGATGACATTCTTCCTACGTGATCCTCTCATGGTGCCACCCTATTTTAATGACTTGCCTCGGAGATTAATAGATTAGACACTGACTTGTCGCAGAAATTAATGTAAGAAAAAAAACCCAACATAACCATTCAAAACAAATCCAGATCTGAAAAAAGTACAATAGAAGAGCAAAATCTAGTGCTGTAAAAAAAGAAAAAGTAGAACAGAGGTCGAACAAAAGCAGCTGCACTTGGATTTCGTGGATCTTGATTTGTTGACGCTATTTTCACCACTGCACTTCCAAGAAAAACAAGAACAGCTTCATGACAAGTCCAAACACACGAGATATCTGATATAACTTGAGAGAAGTCCAAACAAGTTAGCACAAACATTCAGATCTGATAACTTCTTAAGCCAACAATAACAGATTCCGAAATAGATCTGATAACTTTCTAAGAAATAATAACAGATCCCTAACCCAGAAACAAAAATAAGAGATTCCGAAACAGAGTTGCGCAGTAGAAAAGACAGATCAAACAACTCAAAACTAAGTACGATGCAAAAGTATTTCTATAATAATATACACCTCACCTCAAGAAGAAGTTGCAGACCCCGACAGGTGTGATGATCGATTGGAGAGAATACGAAGGGAAAAATCAAGGGCATGGGAGGCGTAGGAAAAAAATATTAGTGTATGCATGTGTGCTTAAATCACGCACACAGATAATTGCTCTATTTTTTTCCCAAGCTCCCACGCCTATGAGTTTTCCCATATTGAAGCAAAGATCTGTAAACCTAAAGAAAGGAAGATGGATGATACAAGGGAGAGAAAGGTATAGTCATAGGCATGGGGACAAAACTCGATAGTTTTGATTTTGAGAGACGAAAAGGGATTGACGGCTAGTGTGTAAGCGAAAGAAGAGGAAGAAAGTGGGGAATAAATAGGTAGTGTTGAGGGTTTCACTTTGGGCCTTCTTGCTTATTTTATATTCGGTTTTATGTTTGGGCTTTGGCCCATTTGTTGAACAATAATCTATCGTCGTGAATAAATAAGATGAGCTGGAATGGGCTGTAGAGCTCAGTTTTTTTTTGTTTTTAATGATATGAGTCATTAGGATAAGAACTTTACCCTTCTCTCCTCTCAATGTCCCTTCGAACACGTAACATGTGGGAGGACACGAACCTCAATACAACATGACACCCGAATGTTGGCATTGGAAAAAGAAGCTGATGTTTGCAGTCCATGCCTCTATTAATGTTTTTAAATTAAAAATACATTTTATCAATATATTAGTACATATATATATATATATTTTAGAACCAACTGCAATTAGAGCTGATGAAATGAGCTAATTTTTTATACCTAATGAATAAGATTCAAATTCCCCTAGAAGGATGTCCACATTTAATGCTCTCCTCCAAGAGAAGAATATATGAGGGAAAAAATTAATTTATATAATTTTGTCAAGTTTTATTTTTCATCTTTATAATTTATCTTCAATCCTTATAGTTGTTATAATTTAATATCATCAGAGACTTGAGAAATAAATATCACCCAATGTCATTGAAATTATAAAGATTGAAAATACTAAAAGTAAAACCAAATAAAATTATAGAGACTAATCATTATATTTGTTTAAAAAAAATAATAAGTCACTTTACCTTAAAAAATATAGATTATTAATTATTTCTTTTAATTTTATCTTTTTGCAATTATTAATAAGTAAAGTAAAAAAAAAATATATTCTAACCAAAAAAGAGTAAAAAATTATATATCAGAAAAAGTGTTTTTTAAAATGACATATTTAGTAAAGATAAACTAAAATTTCTTTATTTTTATATAACAACAACTACTTAACTATCTCTCTTGATTTTATTGAGGTAATTAGAAATAACTTACATATAAGGCATGAGAGAATATTTTCATTCAAAAACTATGAAGCATTCTTGGACACTTGTGTATATGGGAGCCTTTCTTGTACAAAACATTTTTGGAGAGTGTGTTTGGTTTTTCATTTGTCAAAAATTCATTTGATAAAAATTAATTTTTATAAAAAAATTTATATTTGGATACTTTATTTTAAGTCAGCTTGATAAACTGAAAATTATTTAGATTAATGATGATTTGTGATTTTAAAATATGCTTGTAAATATATAATGACCAAAAGGACATTAATTTATGATAATTTATAATTATTATTTACAAATATAATATGTTAGAAATGTTTAAAAAATGTAAAAAAATATGAAGTTTAAAAAGTCAGCACCAAGTTGAAAAGAAGAGGGCAGTGATTGGAGGTGGGCAAGTCACACTAGAAGAAAGAAGGGATCTGCGTCATGTGGTTGTGACTTTCTATTCTGTGTTATTATTTACATGTTTTTATTATATTTTAGGAGATGAAAAATAGAAATATTTTCTTGCTTTTATAAAGAAAAATTAACTAAGTGCCTCATGTGAATTTATTGTAATATTTTTAAGAAAATTATTTAAAATAATGAAAATTGAAGTAAGTAAAGATTCTACTCATATTTATTAATTGTGAATAGGTGGGGTGTAATGCCCTCAACGACATGACCATACAACCCTCCACGTAAACTATTAATAAAAATAATTAACTTAAAAAAAACTTTGAAATCCCATATAAAATATTTTCAAAATCATTCAATAAATTTAGTCAAACTATAAAACCCTACACAACGGAAGCATTATGCAAAAGTGCATTAAAGATCAAGAAAACCATGTGCTTTTTAATAAAATTATGTTAAAATAAGGGTCGTGTGCCGTAGCATGTGGCACAGAGACCATAGCTTCTTGCTCTGTGCCATGCCCCGCGGCATGTGGATATATACGATGTGGCACACACACCTAATTTTGCGATCACACAGTAATTTTTGGTGTGAATTTTGGATGTGCATCGTTTTCGCATCCGATATCTGATTGGGGTGGTTCAGTGCACACACAAAGCTTATTTCATAATCTAACTAATGACACTAGTTTTGTTTAAATCCAATATCCTATTTGAAAATTGGACACCCAAGTGTATTTTGATCAAAGTCAAAATTTGTCACTTGAGTATCACTAATTGAAACCATATGTCATTAGCTACTTTTAGGGCCTTAACCACATCCAAATGGACAATATACACCTGATTGACCAATTATATAGACAATATAACACCTACACATATTTGGTCAGAAAATCGCCTATATTACATATTTGGGCAAAAATTTACATTTTCATTTAACTCACATCTAAGGCTAAATTTTCACATACATATCGAGTATACCTCATATCCACACATATTCACATTCGTCTACTAGCCCACTCTATTATTTCATCATTCACATATATACACAGGGCTAGGGAATCAAAACCACTAAACACAATATTCACAATCTTATGCACATGTACTCAATATCTTACAGCAACTTATACACAAGTTCATAACTAATAATATACAAAATCATTACACCAATTCTTCCAAAAGACTTTAGTGAGAGGTGTCAACTTAGCCTATGTCTTTCCCCTTTGCACTACTACTACTAGAACCTAAAAAATTGTAATAATCATGGGTGAGATAAAAATCTCAGTAACCAATATAGTTCATTAAATATCTATTAGTATAAGTAACCATGCCAAAGTAATAAAACCAAAGTATAGCATATATACTAATTCATCATAACATAGCTTTTCTCTTAAAAGCCCCCCTTTTTTCATTCAACACACTAGTATGATCATCTATTCATTAATTCTCCAAAACTCCCCGACACGAAACCATGGACTTTAATGGATCAATCACTCATTGACCCAAGCACACTTTCGGTAATAGAAACACCGACCAAAGGTAATCTATCCTATCTACAAACTATGATTTCCCTCAATTCACACAAATTTGTGATAGAGTTATCGTTGCCTCTTAGCCGCACCCTAACAGGCACAAAGGAATTGCCAAACTGCTCGGATGTCCCATGGTAATAGTCTCATAATATGCTGTACCAGATTATCCAAAGTGATAGCCTGTATAAAGCTACACCGAATATCCCATGGTACTAGCCGAATTATATGAATTTTTCACTCAGATCCCTATACACACACATCTCCACATTTCCACATTAATTTTACTACTCTTTCACATTTACGCCATACACTTTTATTCATAACTTATATATATATATATATATATTTTCATTCAAAACTAAAAATCCTCAAACCTTCTTTTCATAAACTTATTTCATGCTAAACTTGTTTCAATAGCAAATCATGCATAAAAACCAATAAAACCACAGTTATACAATTAATTCTACACAGTTATAATAGTTAATAAACATAATAAATTATAAGGTTACATCAACTTTTCTAGTCGCAAAAAAGGGTTATTCATGTACTCAAAACCTTACTTTACTCCTTTCCACAATTTCAACACATCACACATGATAATCTATACAATTTGGGTACCTAAAGTCAATTTTACCATTAATAAATAGTGCCAATTACAATAATCAAGCACCTGATCACTTTCATTTCCTTTATTCACATTCACACACGCATACTATAGCCAATTTTCACTTACAACATGCATTAACTTCCTTACTATCAAATTTTCTCTCACTATTCTCTCTCTAGATTAGGGCAAATTGTGTCTATAGCTTTAAAGTTTTATTATTCTGACTCAAACTAGTCACAAAATACTAGTTTAGTTCCGAAAAACTTTTCTATTAGTATACAATAAGAAATCATCTTCTTAAAACTTTTGAATTCAATTTCTCACCAGTTAAAACTAAGACAAAATGGGGTAGAATTAGAAGTTAAGGTAGTACGAGACTTACTCGATAAGTAACTGATCAAAAAAGTCACTCTTACTCCCAATTTCGCTTGCCCTAGCAGAGGTTCACTTCTTCTCCACCTTCATGCTCTCTTTCCTTTGCTTCTCTTTTTTATTTTCACAAACAAACACATCCCACTTAATTAAGTTTCTGCACCATGCATCGCGGCGCACCTCTCCTCATCTGCAATATATGATGCAGTGAGAAAAATCCTTACTATACTCACACGCTCTACTTTGGGACCTCATTATTTCACTCATATCTGTTTACATAACATCTTAAAGAGTCAATATAACATTCCACTACTTAAAATACTAATCTCACATTAAATTACCAATTCGTTCCATAATTAATCATTAACGCAGGGTTAGAAATTAGGAATTTTACATGGGACATGACAACATCAAAGCAAGAAAGAGAAAGGAGACAAGAAAAATGTGTTTTTAGTCCAAGACATTAATGCAATTAATTAATTAAGGTAATAATTTACTTTAATTGAATTAATTAGGATCCTTAGTAATTGGAAGATACTTTGGATTAATTTAGATTCTTGAATTATTAAAACTAAAATTCAAGACAATTAATGTGGTAATGAGAGGGTTAGGAAGTAAATAAGGGATTAGGACTTTAGAACACTCTTTTCTTGATTGATTTTAGTTATTTGTAGATTGAAAGTTATTTTAATTGATCACTTTTAATTTTTTTCATTTTAATTATTCTAAAATCAATTTCTAGTTTTATTAGCTTAACATGAATGAATTTAAAAATTTAATGCCTAATCACTATTTAATTAATTTCTTGAGGGATCAACCTTGATTTACCACTAGCTTCAATTGCAACCCGCACATTTATAGTGTCTCTTAATTTTTATAGGCATCAAGTTTTTAGCGCCGTTGTCGTGGAGAATTCAAACAATTAGTGATTAGCATTAAAGAATCTTCAATAGTTCTTGATTAAGCATTTTCTTTTCTTTTTCTTTTGAGTTGTTATTTCTCTTAGTTTGCTTTGATTTTCTTGGTTTGAATTGATAGAGCATTAGTTGCTTAAGTTTAGGTCATATAAATATCATGTTCAAGTTATTTG